CTAATAGACACCAGGCAGTTGCTTTTACAAAGTCAGAGGCATAATGGTGGTTTGGGTGACTGGGGGTACACACGCCGGGGACAGGGTGTTAGTGTTTGAGGGGCGCCCTAAGCTGATTCTGTGACTGGACACAAAACAGAGATAATGGACATAAGGCAAGCAGATCACCCCCCCCCCAATGTGGGTAAGATGGTAAATTTCATGTCAAATGTATTTTGCCACAATCTTAGAAAAAAGGAAAGAAAAACAGACAATTGAAGGAGTCAGGAATGCCACAGGCTTCCTATGGGAGCGTGGAAGGGAAGCATTTTGTAAGTAGAATGTATAAGAGCTGGCTCAGAATTTCCTTGATCCTACTGAGTGTCCACACAACAGCTAGGTGAAGTGCATATTGAGTTACCCACACTTGGGTGAAGCTGCTGATGGCAACTGTCAAGCCCCGAGGGGGTTGGGGTGGCAATGTTCATTGCCTGTTGTAGTCGTAGGCATATTTTTGCAGGGGTAGTCACACATCAAAACCACCAATCGCACCCTAGGAACACATGTAGTTCATTGTAGAACAATTTCACCGTGGTAAAGTGTGGTTTTTAGAAACAGTACTGAACTGGGTAGATGGCTCAGTGGGTAAAGGCGCTTGCCACCAAGCCTGATAACTGACAGCTTCCTTGGGATTGAGGCTGCGCGAGTTCTCAGTTTTCTTTCACCTGAATCGAGATCATAATTTAGGATGTGACCCCAGACCCATTTCTGATCTGGGCTGAAACAACAAGTGGCATGTGTCCATCGCCTATTTAGACATGGACTTTATAGATATACGCTCTCAGCGGCAGGTACCACGGAGGAGGAGGATCCTCCGTGTGGGCCAGAGAGAAGCCCCAGAGCTGAGCAGCCTGGAAGGGAGGCACCCATCTCTGTGTTGTCAAAACCACCCTGCTTCCAGCCTTCCCGGAACATCTCATGTAATACGATGAAGTGCCCATCAGGGGGCGCTGACACACCCTCCTCCGCAAAGCCCCCTGGGAGGCATCAGAACTGGGCTTGGGTGGAGTCTTTGGATCCCCTGGGTGGTCAGTGTGGGGTTGCAGAATGCTCCCAGTGGCTGTGCCTGAGAACAGGACCGCACGCATGCGCCAGCATCCCCCCCCCCCCCCGCCACCGCCACCGCCACGCAGAGGCTGGGCTCACCTGGGGCGAGTTCTCAATGACCAGCTCGTAGGTCAGCCCTGTAGAGCCAAACCGCAGGATATCCCCAGGGATCAGCTTCACCGCCACATTCTGAATGTGGCACTCATTGACAAACGTGCCGCTGCGGGTGTTAAAGTCCTGAAGGACAAAGCTGCCCTCGGCCTCGTTGAATTCGATGAGCGCATGGTGGTTGTCAATGTCTGAGGTCTGAGAAAGAGAAAGAGTCGGGAAAATGAAAATCACAACGGCCTTGATACTTGCTGCTCATGGGCTGCCGGAAGGGGATGACACTGAGCCTCCCATGTGTCTAGGTTGAGAGAGTAGCCCTCCATGGGGAATGGGCTCCCAAAGTCCATTTGTGCACTAGGATGCTCCCTGGTGGTCTAGTGGTTAGGATTCGGTGCTCTCATTGCCAGGACCCGGGTTTGGTTTCCGGTCAGGGAAGCAAGCTAATCTCTTGAGCCGGGTGTTGGTGGCGCACGCCTTTAATCCCAGTACTCGGGAGGCAGAGGCAGGCGGATCTCTGTGAGTTCGAGGCCAGCCTGGTCTCCAGAGCGAGTGCCAGGATAGACTCCAAAGCTACACAGAGAAACCCTGTCGCAAAAAACAAAACAAAATAAAACAACACCAACAACAACAAAACATTTGTGCACTAGGGATAAATACTGGTTCCATGTCAGAGGTCCCATAGACTGCCCAGCCTCCTGACACCCACATTCAGAAGGGTTGGTTTGGTCCAGTGCTGGTTCCCCAGTTTTAGGACTGGGGTCTGTGTGCTCCCACTTGGTCAGGTCAGCTGTTTCTGTGGGTTTCTCCAGCATGGTCTTTATTTCTGGGGTTTTTGTTTTGTTTCTTGAGACAGGGTTTTTCTGTGTAGCTCTGGAGCCTGTCCTGGCACTCACTCTGTAGACCTGGCTGGCCTTGAACTCATAGAGTTCTGCCTGTCTCTGCCTCCCAAATGCTGGGATTAAAGGTGTGTGCCACTACTGCCCAGCTCAAGATGGACAGTTTTATCTTGGTGTGAACTACTGCACACCACCCAGTGTTGATCTGGCCTCCAGATGCATGTGCACAAGTGTAAACACCCACACACATACATACATACATACATACATACATACACATACACACACACACATACACACACATACATACACACACACATACATACACACACATAAATACATATACACATACATACACATACTACATGCATACACACACATACATACATACACATACATACACACACACCTACATACATACACACACATACATACATACATACATACATACATACACACACACCTACATACATACACACACATAATACGTACACATACATACATATACACATACACACATACATACATATACACATACATACATACACATACTACATGCATATACACACACATACATACATACACACATACATACACACACATACATACATA